ACAGGACACCACAGAAACCAAGCTTGGGCTACCTGTGGTTGAAGCGAGTTCTCGATGGATGACAATGCTGATTCTTAAATTTCGTCACGCAACGCATAGCATGTGTAGTTTCCCTCCTCCGCTAAACAACCACATAAAATTAAACTTTATCTAAACGAGTGGAAATATTATCAGCTATAATTATGATTTACAAATACTAAAAGCTATGCAATCTAATCCTTAGTTGAGCGCGGGTTCAGTTAGCCTCCTTTGCAGCCGTTCTTAGGGTCGTTGCGTGAAACATTTTTTTTTTCGTAACTTTATCATAACTCCCATACATTCCCTTATAAACCATACACAGGAACCTTGTTTGGGCTGCCTGTGGTTTGAGGACCACGCAGCTTGATTACTTTCCTGATAACACGTTAAGTGGTGCTCTCCTTTAAAAGTAGAGTTTCTAAACTAGCATTTTTCTTATATCTTTGGAATGATCACGCCCGAAGTCATTATATAAACTTAGGAATAAAGCAGTGCTAAAGTACAGTGAACACTAGTCTCCTGCGTTGCGTGACGACACTAGGGACCTTTAGCTGCAGGACGGCAACGTGGGCGACAACCAACCTTCTATTGTATTTATATTATTTCGTGTTTACCTAGTATTTTACTCAATAAGCATCCTCGTTTTAGAGTGAAATGTCGTCTTTTGGGAGCGCTTTACTTATAACGAAAATCAGCAAAGATAAGCTTTTGGCGTAGCCGTTCTCTTTAGTACGTAAAAATTGGACATTTCACGTCTTACTTTGTATAAGACGGCAATGATGCATAGTATTTCGTACATTCCAACGAGTATTTATTGAATAGCGCAATTACTGCTATTGTATGTCTGCCGTCGTTGCCGTTACTCACGTGTATAAACACCCGCATATAAGAACACACGAGTCGCAGGTCAGGCTGATTGTGTTCTTATTTATCGGGTGCTTGTGACAAATCAGCCTCAAAATGTTCTTAAAATATTCTTAAATTTTTGTTACGTAATACTATCCAAAATATGTTGCTACCGAACTAGATAATTTTTGTAGAAGAAAATGCTCAAACCAAAACAACTCAGCTTGACAGCTGATAGAGTTATGTAGCTATTTTGTAATTATGACACTTTTTCCATTTTATAAGAATATGTTACAATTTTTTCTTATAAAAATGGGGCTTTATTGGCCAAATTTCATCCTGGTGTTCTAATACATTTGTTCTTATATCGGGTGTTTACTGTATTTGGAATGCAGTGTAGACTGAACCATATGATATACACCTGACTGACTACATATACTGATTTAACACGACAAAGCCTATTTAATGCGAATTTCACATCGTTCTACGGTTGTCTAGCTAGGGGATTCCCCCGAAATTACGTATAAGTCACGCCATATTGTTACCATGGTGTACTAGTTTTGTATAATATTTAAAGCCAATCCGAATCATGTATCAAAAAAAGATGAGTTTTGAAAGTTTTGAGTTTTGTCTTGCTCTGTCAAATATTTCAAATTAGTTACCATGCCTCTGACTTGTGTTTTGGACTCTGAGGCGTGCTTTGGTTTCAATATTTGGATAGCTTCCTTTATTTAAACAGGCCATAACTCTCTCAGTATTTACAAAACTGTAAAAAACTGTTGTCAATAGATAACACTGTCACGGTATCATTTACGGTCTAAATATAGATATAGATAATACTGTCACGGTATCATTTACGGTCTAAAGATAGATGATAATACTGTCACGG